TTATAATGTGCTTTAAAAATTAGATGTGTCATTTAAAGTACCTGGACAGGGGAAATAAATTAACAAGGGTTGGGAATTTCAGGTTTCACTTAAACAAAGTATTAGATTTGAGTATGTCACACGTTCTGGAGGGCGGCCGTAAATCATAGTCACGGAATGTTCCAGGGGCCCTAGAAACCATGCAGCCCACTTGTTCATTTTTCAGTTGGGGAAATTGACTGGATAACATGCCCAGGATTCCACCAAACAGTGGCCGGACTGGTCCCAGAACTCAGGTGGCTCTGAACCCTGGTCAGAAACAGGGCAGGTGTAGGCATGTGATGTTTATAATTGACATCTTCACTCGGTTCCTACTATTAACAGCAAAACTGAGAGAAAGAGAACCCTTGTGTTCTTCAGCGACACTTTCCAGCAGTATTGTGTAGTGGTTAAGAACCAAGACACTCAGATCACACAGATCCGAGTTCCTGCCCTGTATCTTCCCTCACCAGCTGTATCTCCCTGAGAGTATTATCTGATATCTGTGAATTTCAGTTTCCTCATCGTATAAAAAAATATAACTCAATCATGCCTGTAAAATGATCAGCACAGTGCTTGGCACCTATAACTGCTCAATAAACATTAGTCAACATTTTAGATAATAATATGTTGGCTAATCAGTGCTTTATTATTTCTTTAATATCCATAGTTTGGGTAAAACTGAATTTTGCCTCCCAGTTGTCTCACCATGTAATGATTTCATTTATTCTTTAATTCACTCTTTCACTTACCGTCAGCAGAATGCGCTCTGGTAGACACTGTAGGAAAAGCAAAGAAGAATTCAACACCATACCTTCCTTGGGGGAGCGGGCATCTCATAGTGACTTACAACACGGACATTGACGCAGTGACGTGAAAGACCAGGAGACACACGTTCCCCAGAGGTAGCACGTGCCCCGCGCTTGGGCGTTTCAAACGCAAAAAGTGAGCGCAGGGTCAGTAGAGATGAACAAGGCATTGGCCCCGCCCCCAGCGTGTTCCAGCGGGAAGACAGGACGTCACCCAGGTCTCGTTCACGTAGAAAATGAAGAAGGTTATAAAAGGTACAAAGAACGACAGAGTCCAACACGAATAACACCCTGATTTTATTACCAAATCATAAGCATGTAATTCTGTAACATGATAATATCACACCCAAGCACACCATGTGACATTTTAAGTGAAATGTGCAAGTTAAAACTATAAGTTATTACACCCATGTTATTACCCTACCAACCACACTCGAGCAGGCCTTACTTCTGCCAGGCCCTCTGTATAGAGGGAGAGACAAAATCCCTCTGACCAGGAAAGGCTTCCTGGATGAGCTGGCTTTGAGGGTGTACTATTTTAGGAAAGTTAGAGGCCTGCAAGAAGGATCTCCTAGACAATGGGGATGTCATTTATGAGTGACAAAGGAGAAAGAGAAATTCAGTGTCTTTAAAGAAATCTCATCCTTTCCAGTTCACCACAGCGCCCATCGGTTTGTATTGTCTTATTCTAGAAGTTAAGAGAGCCTTCCTCCCTGTTATGGATGGTGACACTCTGGCTTTGTCACCCATGAGATCTGCAACCTTAGTTATGTTACTTAAATCTCTGAACTTCAGTTTCGACATTTGTAAAATGGGGAAAGTCCCTACCTGTCCCATGGGGGGGGGTGATAAAGCCATGTGAGCACATAGCAAAGCACCAGGCAGACTGCAGGCACTGAGTAAATAAATGTTCGCTGCGTTCATTACCAAGTTACTCACCTGGGCCTTGAAGGAGTTGGAGTTTGCCAGCCCTGCATTGGAACTAGTCAGTTTCTGGGAAAGGAAGTAGCACCGTATTTATCTTTTGAGTCCTGGAGTGTCGCGCTGAACCCTACTTGGATTGTAGTGACAGTTCCGGGCACGTCAGGCAGTTCTTCTGTCAGACCCTCAGCCGACCACCACGCTCAGGTATTTCGGTGGAGGACCCTGGCGTGGTCTCTGGGGGTGAGACCTGCCCGCACAAGCTCCCTCTTTGCCAGTGGAGAAAGCAGCTCGCAGCCAGCTCCCCCGCTTGGTGCCTTCCAAGCATCCAGTGATTTTCACAGCGGTGGTTGCCCAGGTCAGATCGAATGGTGGCCTCACTTCCAGAACACGTCATTACGATTTTTAAGAACTGTAATCTTGAAAGCCCTTAGGATTCCAAGAGCTTCTCTGGTAGCTTGCTTGTCTTTAATAGCTGACGATCGGAAAGTGTTTATAACACAGAATGGTTACCTCCGAAAACAAGAACTAGCAAACACGAGTACTTTTAAAAACACTGGCGTGAACAAAACAAATCTTTTGTAAAAGCGCCGTCTGCTTAATAAACAAGGACTGCTAATTACGCAACTGTCAGTGATGTTTTCTGGCGCGGCCTATCACCAGCTTCTTGCAGAACAACAAATAAGAAAACGCCTAGAAGCAAATCACCCTTGCTAAGTGCTGTGGGCAAACAAACCCATGCCTTATGTGTGTCAGAGGCAGCCCTGAAAAAGGCGTGGTAAATTGCACACGTCAGTAAACGTGTCCTGTCGTTGTGCAATGATTTTTGATCCGTGGGTATGTATTTCTCACCAAACAACTGACAAAGCTCAAGGTGTCAGAAATATCATTCGTGGGGTTTTGCTATTTTGTTGCAAAATTCAGGTGTTATAAAGTGTTTTTTTTAATGTAAAAATATTGATTGAAAGTGAGATTTGCCACAAGGAATTTGGAAGTAATTCTCTTAGTTATGTGAATTCCTTGCCAGAAGTGTCAAAGAGCTGTGCTAGCCACTAATATTTTAAATATAATGAATAATTCATAGTTTTGCTAATATCCTTTTATGAAAATTTTATAGCCAAAAATAGACAAGGTTGTAAGACAATTTGACTTTAAACTAGAATTACAATCTCCTTTCACATGGCTTATCAATATAAAGAACTTTCTGAAGTTTTCTGTAGAATAACAATAGAATTGAGAGCAAGAGCGTTATTTTAGGAAGATTTTTAGAGAAGTGACCTTTATGGAAGTATGATTCCTTTTGCACATCCAGATCTGTTACTGCACTCTATTTATCTGTTGCTGCCTTTCGGAAGTTGAAAGTATCGAGTATTGGGTTGGCCAATAAGTCTGTTTTTTCATTTTTAGAAAGTCAGTTATTCTGTTTTCCCTTCAGTTGGTTCCTTGGGCATCCACCCACCTTTCCTCCCCGGGGCCTTAGAGGCAGCAGCAAGCGGCTCCTGCAACAGCACCTGCCCCTGTACTCTCAGGTTGTCTCTCGCTTCCCTGAATCCTTTAAACCAACAGCCACCGCTTCGCAACCTTTTCCGCTTGTTTGTTTTGTTTTGTTGTAATCCTAAGAGCAGTCTGATGTTCATAATCCATTATTTTAACGCGACTTTGGATATGGTGAATACTGCCAGTTATTGCATTCAGAGCTTAACAAAACATCAAAGAAACCCTTGGCTAATGGCAGAAATGATACATTATTCTTCAGGTATAGTAAAAGGGATTTGGGTATTTCTAATATGTCCCCATCATTTAAACCTGAATTTATTTTATTTTCTCTTAGCATGTTTTAACCAATTGACCTTTACATATACTTTGCATTTATTAACGTAGAATAAATTTCAATAGCCTTGAAATATGGCCCCAAAAATTCATAGTATCTTTCTGTCCGCCTTGGAATATGACAAGCCTATTCTCTAAATATTTACATCATCGGGGAATGTCTGTGTACTTATGCTGATTTTGACTTAACATTTTCAAGAATCAGTCTTAAATTAAATGTAAGCTTTAAAGTGTAAAACCATAAATCATGTAACTTGATACAAGTGTTGCAACCTGGCTTACCGCATTTTCTCGGAAGATTTTTATGCCCTTTACTTCTAGCACAACGGCTACTTTCATCTTTTCTATTGACAACTCCCCCAATGAATCTGTATGGGGATAATGTTAAACCCTGAGATTTATGTTGCCATGAAAGAGAAACCCTTTATAACCACATAAAACCATTGTCACCAGAAATTTCAGTCTGTTTTACATGAAAGAGGACATATTTTATCTCAATGCCTCATTAAACTTTCTGGAAATAGCAGTGTTCTAAAATACTTCCAGTGAATGACTACATACATGTGTGTGTCTCCTGAAAAGTTCAAATGTCTCCAGTGAGGAAAACTAACCATTTGTTTTCATACTTAAAGGTGTGGTATATTTTCTTCTATTTAATTTTGCATAGATGTTGCTTTGATAGGTCAACCATATCCCACCCACAATTTGTTGGGCAAAATAGCCAAAACCACCCTATTACACCAAAAATGTCAAAACTGTGGAGACAGTGAAAAGATCGGTGGTTTCTAGGGATGGAGAGAGGGGGTGGGATGCATAGGGGGAGCACCGAGAATTCTGGGGGGCAGAGAAACTACTCTGTATGATATTACAGTGGTGGACACAGGCCCTTATACAATTGTCCAAACCACCAACAGTGAGCCCTCATGTCAACAGTGCACCCTGGGTGAGTGTGATGTGTCAACGCAGCTTCGTCAATTGCAACAATGTATCTCTCTGGTGGGAGATACTGAGAATGGGAGATACTGAGAATGGGAGAGAGACTGTGGGGGCAGTAGGTATATGGAAAATCTCCTCACTTTCCTCTCAATTTCGCTGTGAAACTAAGTTTCTTAAAAAAAAAAACAACCTCTATTAAAGAAAAAAACAAGCTAAAAATAGAACAAAACAAAGACTACTTTTCAACGATTGCAAAAATATGTACCAACACATAACTCAAGAAAACTGTCCTTTTAATGTTAATGACCACCACTACAAAAGATGCGTATTGCAATAAAATATTTAATGACACTATTTTCAAAATGTACATGGCGTGTCCCCAACCACTGGGAAGGTGCAGAGCAGCTGACCGGAGCACAGAAAGGAGACAAGGGAAGCAGCATGTCATGTCCATCAGGCACATTGAAGATGAGTTTTCTCTTCCAGGGGGCGCCCAAACCCATCGCCGTTGAGCCGTGCGCAGGGAACAGAGCTGCTGTCCTGACGGTGTTCCTTTGCCTGCCGAGAGGATCATCGGGTGCCCCTCCCCCAGGGCAGTCAGGTAAGATCAATGAGGAGCCGGGAGCAGCTAACAGAAGACACAAACAGTACTACCAGACAGCACAGTCAAGGTATTTACACGGTTCTGTTTAGAGTACGGCAAAATTTTATTAGGCTACAAACTGTTACCCAACTATCTAGGTATCTGCTTTGCTATAAATTCAGATTTTCCACTGTTTCTTTTAGAAATATATGTTGAATGTGTGTCTGTATATAATGTAGACATATAGGAGGGGGGATCCTCCCCCCCCAAAAACCAGAATTAACTTCTGGAAGGCGGGCCCCTTGGAGTACAGGTTCCACCACAAGGAGAGTGTCCTAGGAGCCCGTTTGCGTCAGTGCACCAGCTGGTGTTGTTGTGAGAGGCTGCTGTCAGCCGCAGTGAATTTTGTCTTAAAGACCCAGTGCATTTGCCCATTTCATGATGGGTGACTTAGGAACGCACTCGCCCAGACTGCGCTGAGTGTTCAGCAGTTTTTGACCCAAACAACATGACCCTTGTGCCCCGGCCTCCCTGTTCACCTGATCTCTCCCTGAGCAGCATTTTTTTGGTGTCCCCTGGGTGAAAAAAGTCCTCCACAGGAAATGTTCTGCCGATGTGGCAGAGGGGAAACAAAAAAATGGCAGAAACACTAAAAGGCATCAAAATCAACCAGATGAAAACCGTTTCGAGCAGTGGGAAAAAATGTCTCGATAGGAGTATTGCCTCAAATGGAGAGTACTTTGAAGGTGACGGAAGGTTAAACATGTAAGAATGAATATACAATTTTTTATAAGTGAATTCCATTTTGGAGTGGGCTCCTCCTGTATGTACTCTCTCCCTGCCCCGCATAGTTTGTTGTTGTCATGACAATGAGAAATCTCACTAGCAGGGCACACGAGTTCTGGACCCTCGTGGGCAACTCCTTTCTCCCAGTATGTGCGTCATATTACATGTTAATGTAATGTTAAATATGATGGTACGTGTTCAATAGGATGAGAAGTTTGCTTTATAAGTATGGGACCAACTCAGGGAACCGGCTTGCATGACTGGAATGTTTTGGTGGCATCAGAGGATGGCAGCTTGATGCAGACACATCACTGTGATTAAGGAACATTATGCTCTTGCTGTCGGCACCGGCCAGGGGGAGTTCCCAGGCCGGGGCCCCTCTCCTTTGGACAGGCAGATCCTTCTTTCTCTCCAGCGGTCCCTGTCCTACCCGAAGAGCATGTTTCGAATGGTGGGATAACTAACTGTATGTGTCCTCTCTGCGGTCTTCTCGTTGCTGTGGTGATGTCCACATTGCAGACATGCTCGATGCTGAGTGCAGCTTGTAATTAAATCACAAACCATGCTTATTTCTTACTAATCACCTATCCTATTTCATCTGCTTACGATTTCTCATTTTTCTTTCTCCCAATTGTTTTCTCTAAACACCTCTTAGTGAAATGGATGCTTTTTGAGGGTAAAGGGTGATTTCACATCTCTCTCTACTCAGTTCCTCCTTAAGCATAAAATCAGGTGCCAGAGAACCGTCAGGTTTTCAGTAACAGTAATTGATGGTGAACTCGCCTCCCTATGTATTTTATCGTTTCTTGGCTCTCGACCTTGATCCTCACTTTCTTGATTTGTATCCAGCCAGAGATAAAAGCAAAGGCTACTTTATATCTTATAAACTTAAGATACTCTTGTAACAGAATTTTCCCCACATGAGGACAGAGGGTTTTCATCACCTTTAGACTTGTCACTTATGATGCAGGAATCTCTACCCAAAGTTCACTTGTAGGCATTTAGTCAAAGAAACCAACCTTCTCTGGACCCTCGTGCACCCTCCCCTTTTAGAACCACCAATGTAACTGGGATGCATAAGTAGAATAGTTTGGCACTGGTCAGATAAGATGAATAATTATAGGTACTGTGCCCAGCTAATGGAAGTATTGTTTTAAGGCTGGGATGCTTTCCAAGGCAAACACTTCACTAATGAAAACAAGCCTGTGTGATACACACCAACATTCTTCCAGATCCTTGACGAGGTGACGTCCTAATGGGCTGAGTGAAGGCATCTGCTAATACTCTGTCCCTTTAACCTTCAGAATCTTTCTGACTGACTTGCAAGAGCCAAGTAGCAGTGTGGACCAGTACCTCCACTGTGTTTCACTCCAAGTGCATTACGACCACTGACGGTCACAAAGCATCTTCTGGTTTTCACATTTGATCCTCATGATAAGGCTGTGCTACAAAACTCAGTTTGTAAATAAGGAATTATAAAGACATAGAAGTCTTCATATTTCTATACTCAAGGAATAATTAGGAAATACTAAAGTATATAGCAAAACAACAAAAAAAGACTCTGTTGCTGACATCCCAGGAAATTTTCCCCAGTGATCTGTAGCAGGAAGCTTATTTCTCTGTAATCCACAGCCATGTCTTCACAAAGCCAAACATTTGGAGGAGTCTGAAAAAATCTCCAGGGTTGGTGCAAGCAGATAAAACCTTGAGCTAACTTACTTTTTATAGTGCCTGTAGATGGAACTGTGGTGAATATCTGTGTGCATAATTCAGAATGAGCGCGGTTTTTGTCTAGTAAAAACTAATATCTTTTAAGCCCTGGCTGGTGTAGTTCAGTGGATTGAGTGCCGGCCTGTGAACTAAAGGGTTGCCGGTTCGGTTCCCAGTCAGGGCACATGCCTGGGTTGGTGGCCAGGTCCCCAGCAGGGGGTGCACGAGAGGCAACCACATGTTGATGTTTCTCTCCCTCTCTTTCTCCTTCCCTTCACCTCTCTCTAAAAATAAATAAATAAAATCTTTTAAAAAATTAATACATTTTTATAGCTATCTTTATAGCAGTAGGAACATATATTGATCAATGGAGAATAGAAAAGGTAGATGGACAAATATCATAAAACAAGTAAAATAAATGTAAGTGGTAGAATCTAGGTGGTGGGAATACTGGTGTCCATTGAAGAATGCTTTCCACTTAGGTATATGTTTGAAATTTTTTATAGTGAGGTGTGGGAAATAATAAAATAAAAATCTCTTAACTTTATTGGGGAAAAAAGACAATGTCTATAGAGAGATGCTTTCTAATGGTCATGTCTAGGTTTTCCCCAAACAGAGCAAATTCTGACACCACTATACAAATTATCGTATCGTCTCCCCTCTTCGTGAAGGCACAGCCAGTCACAACTTACCGTCTGTGTGTCTGAGCTTATCACAAGGCCCTACTCATGGAAAGCAGTTCAGAAACGCCTTTGAGGACGACCGCAGGAGACCTGTGAAGCATGACCTGGAGGAACCTCCATCTCTGAGCCTCAGCGAACACCAGTGAGCAGGGGGACTGGCCTTCAGTCATCCTTTCCCACAATGCTCTCCCAGGAGCCCTGTGCTCCGAAGAGCCACTCTAGTGCTGGTGCAGGGTGAGAGGTCTGGGGGGGCTTCATGGACGGACTCCGGACCCTGCCCCCACTGTGTGGGAGGCAGAGCACCAGGAGCCTTCTCTTGGCTCTCGGGCGGTATACGTCTCCAAGTGTTAGCATAGCTACTCAGCGATTAATTAGCATTAATTATTAGATTAAAGGTTCTCTTTGCACAACCTCAAAAATGTTCATCAGGCCCTCTTTTGAAACGTTGCTTTCTAAATGTCGAGTGATGCTTTTCAAAAAGCGCTCTCCATTACCAGGAATAAAAGCATTGAAGAGAAGGGGATTTGCAGATATGGAGAACACAGAAGCATCTATGAGTGTGGAGGTGTTCTCTCAGAAACTGAATTACACCACTAACAAACAAGCGATTCAGCAACATTCGTGTGCTAACTTTGGTCATCTCTCTTCAGTAGCAGCCAGTAATTTTTTTTTTAAATTTTAAACTATAGCATTGTCTTTGCACTAGATTCTCTTCCCACCAGCAGATATTTCAGTAATACTTACTAATCATTAGACACGGCCCTTTCAGTGTCTGTCTAAAATTTGTGAGGTTCCTTGCATGGCTTTTATCTTAGCAGAGGTCAAAAGAAGAACTTCGGGTTTGTCCTTTAGATTACCCCATGCACTAATCATCTTTTGTCGTCTTTAATGTAATGAATTTAGGTGTTTGTGAGCAATTCTCCCTCTAGGTGGCTTAGAAGAGTAAAAGCAAAAGATATTAAACAGGCTTTTTGGCACTCCCGAAGCTGGGCTAATTAGGTTCCTGCTCCCCAGCGCCATCAACCTGCTGCTTTATTCCTGCGTTTTCTGCAAGCAGCCACTGCCAGACCCGCCAGATGCACTTGGGTTGCTGTGGCATTTCTGCCGTTGACATATGCATACTGGGCTACCACCTTCTCTTCTGACTGCAGAGTGGCTGAAAAGCCAATGTCCCCATGAAAACAGGGCGCATCGCATGACACTAAACAACTGAGCATGTCTCCAGTCACCTTGGATGGCAAGGTCCCCACGGGTTTGAGAATGGCATTAACAAGAAATGTGGACAACGTAAACAGAGCTCTTCAAAAGCATACATTGAACATGATAATGTCTCCTGTCATGTTACGATGAAGGATCGTGGTTTTCATAGTTTATGGGTTCTTACTAATGAGAAGCAGATTAACTGTTTTCAGTGGCCCGAATGCCCACTGCCAAAAAGGAGCAGTGTGCCTCAATCAGAGGAAGAATTCTCCCTCGTCTTGCCTTGTGCTTAATCGACTCTAACGTTGCCAAAGAGAAGACTAGTGGAGAGTCTAAGGTTTTGAAAGTTTTTTCCCTTTAGGCTGAGACGGTTCGACAGAATGACCAGATTATTTAGAAAAATCCAGAAATGTTGTATAATGTTTCACATGATAGTCTGCCCACGATGCCATGGGTATTGCTCGTAGTAAGAGAAGCTGGGTTTAATTAGATGAACAGAGGTGGGGGAAAGAGAACTAGGAATTCTGGGCTTTATATACATTCCCTATATGTTTATATACATTATATGCTTCAAATATACCAGAGCTTTATATATGTTGCAGCTTTATATACATGGCATATGTTTTATATACATGTGTG